CTGCTCTAGGTATTTCAAGTAGATTAATATTTAATAAAGGGAGTTAAGTGCTTACAAAATCATCAGAAAGGGCTGGAAGAGTAGATGTAAAAAGTGAAAGTAAATGCTCCTGGCCATTCATATCACAGCACTGCAGCTGGGATTTTATGCCCAGGAAGTTGCAGAAAATTATGCAATGCCACATCTGCTCAGACCTGAAGACACAAGTCCAGAGTCTGGCTGTTGCAAAAACTCCCGTCTCCCAGAACACGTGTTAGCTTACCACGGCTGCTACAGAGAATTGGCCTCTGCCTTCCAGATTTTTCACAATGCATCTCACTGGTAGAACCTCAATTACTTGCAGAACCAGAAGGAAGTCTGGAACATAAGTTTTTAGCTTTGCAGTCCCTTGATGTATGGAAGGGCAGACATAGGAGAATGTGGAAACGAATGCTGAGTGCATAGGACGATTACCTTCTCAAGACAACACTGATAATGCACTGAAAACAGTGTCCTCAGCTATGGTAGGAATACGATTATCTGCTCCTGTGCATTTGCACTAGAGCTTTGAAACACTGCCAAGTGGTGCACAGCAGCCAGACTTCTTAGTGGAAATGTCCCAATAAACACTAGTAAATGTGCCAAGTTTCGTTTATGAATATCAATTAGTAACCCTTAATAAGTCAGTAGGTTACTAGTAATGAGTTCTTATTGCCAGGTAAAAATCAGTCTGTGGATCTGAGCATCATTTGATCATAAGAACTGAAGAAAGGACTTGATCCTGAGGTCAGGAAATTCTCCTGACCATCAGTGGGCCTTGAATCATACTTTGAGAAACAGTGACCTGTGGAGGTTCTCAAACTGGTATGTATCATCATGACCTAGAGAGCTCATGAAGGACACAGCCACCCTGGCTCATTCAAGTAGGTTAGGGCCTGACCTTTTAAATTTACAATCTTCCCAGGTGATTCTGATGCCAATCATAGTTGGAGAACCACTGAACTGATCAGTTTGAAAGGTTGGGGTTAAACTGCAGAGAGTTTTGGAAACTGAAGCTACGGAAATGTACAGAGGAGAGGTTCCAACTTTTGTGGTGCCTGAAAGTTATACAATTTTACGGACTCTACTTAAAAGAATACAAAGTTATGAATAAAAAAATAGGTAGAAAAGTGAATATTTGCTTATAATGAAAAAAAAAATCACAACAAAATATTGAAACCTTCAAGATTCTGTTTAGGCAGGTTATCATCAGTGTTACCCGGAAGAGCTTTCTGACTGCAGCCTGGCCTCTCTCCCACCCAGAACACTGTTCAACTCCCAGCATGCATCTGTAATTGAGGGCCCTTGAAGCTTAAGCTTCCTTAGCTTCACTGTCAAATCACCTCTGGTTTGGGTCTTACCCTGACCTTCCCTTTCTCCCTTCTCTTGTCCCTCCCACACACCACCAGAGTCCTCTGTCCCTCTTTGGTTACAGTTAGAAGCCTGTTGTCTTTGTCTGGGTATTACCCAGAGGGTCCCTGGACTAAGATGGGGACATTCTTCTTTTGAGGGAGGTCAGAAAATATCTTTCAATTATGAGACACTTGTGTTACCAGAACCCAACCTATAGTGTGTAGATCCAATCCTAGCTCCCCAGTTACTAACTGTGTGACCTTGCACAAGTTCCTTAACTTTGCTCATTTCCTTATTTTTAAATTGCAATTAATATCACACCTACCTCACAAGGATTATTATGAAGATTAAACAAGAGAATCTATAAGACATGCTATCACAGGTCCTAGAATATATCTAGCACTCAATAACTCATCTATAATCTTTATTCCAGAGTAAATATATATAGCAGAGTAATATATATTTAACATTTGATTTTGCTAGTGGCAGTAAGCAGTAGATTCAACAATCTAGAATAGAGATAGCTAGTCATTTTAATTTGGCCTTACATTATTATTACCAATGTGTTTATTTTCCTAGTTAAGTTTTTATTTAGGCAGTAGCTTTTGAGCAGTTTTCACTGATTTCCCAGAGTTTCTTTGTCTTCCCTCAGACCACCACCCATGCCTCAGCCTAAGAAGCTCTGCATTGATCTGTTTTTACATTTCGGCTTCTAAACACGTCTTCCCTAAAGAAAGAATTCTTCAGCTAACACAGGTTTTAAATACTTTGCAAATCCAGTGTATCTTGTGGGGATAAGGAGGCCTAAGAGTGTTACTATATTCAGTGTGACGGAGAGACTCATTAAAACTTGCTAGGATTATTGAAATTTGTCTGATGATATTACCTAGGCAGTGTCTACTTTCCTCCCAGGGGCATAAGCCTAGAAAAAAAGAAAAAGAAAAAAACAACCAATCACTCCTTCTTTCCTCAAATTTCCATTTCTCAAGTACAGTGTTCTATCTAACAAGATCTGCTGTTTCGCCACATCCTTGTATGGTTTTTCCTGCCTCTCTCCAGCCTCTACTTTCCACCTTCAATTGACACTGTAAGGAAGCCTGGAGCACAGATGCTCGGAATAGTCTCCATGGCAACTGGGCTTGGTACTAATAAGGTCATGGCTGTGCTTTCCATTCCTGCACCTGCCAGCTTCACAAACAGAAGCTGTGCTCCTGCAGCAAAGAGTGTACCTTACCCCTGGCCAGCTGTCTCCCAGAGGTGCCCAGCCAGGCAGACAGGATACAGCGAGTATGTACAGCTCAGTATATACTCATCACCTCTATTAGTACAGCTCAAAGCTGAGTCACTGATGTCTTCTTCAGAGGGGATGAACAACTCTCTCACTTGAATGCCAGACTTCTCCTGCAAAGTAGATCTTTTGGGCAGGCATACCTGCATCAGAGAGTAAGGATTTTTAACAGCAAGGCTGTAAAGGGCACTCCCCAGGCTTCTGCAGGATAATCAAGGGAGCCAGGTCAGTAGAAAAAGGGCAGCCTCTCCTTCCCACTCCCTTGGCTCAGCATTGTAGATGTTCGTCCATCCTTTCATCCACCTGTATTCCAAGTATATCACACACACCCAGTTACAAACCGCTGACAGTCTTGAGCACATCCTCTGTGCCCAGCACTGTGCTAAGTGGGGTCCTTACATGATCTCATTTAATCCTCAATTCTGTGAGTTTAGGAATTATCATCATTCCTGTTTTACCGACAAGGAAACAGAGAAATTAATTCACTGTCCCAAGATCAACAACTACAGATATAGCAGCCACCCTCCCACACTCATTTCTATTCCATTTAACTGCTGCATCTGATTCCTCAAAAACCTGATCATAAATATCTCAGGTCAGAACAGAAACCTCACCAGAAACCTATTATGTGGTCATAGTAGTTATTTATTTCCACCCTGATCTTGGCTACTTTTCCTGTGAAAAACTGATAGATAAGAATAAGGATACCAGGATACATTCCAGAAATATAATGCATCATCCTAGTTTCCTGTGGCTGCTGTAATAAATTTACCACAAATTTAGTGGCTTAAAACAACATAAATTGATTATCTTACAAGTTCTGGAGGTCAGATGTCCAAAATGGGTCTCACCAGGCTAAAATCAAGGCATCAGCAGGGCTGTGTTTCTTCTGGAGGCTCTAGGAGACAGTTCTTTTTCTTGCCTTTTCTAGCTCATGGCCTCTTCCTCCATCCTCAAAGCTAACAATTACTGGTCCAGTTGTCACAAGGTAAAGGTCTGCTGCCCGATTTACCCAGAAGCCAATACCATGGCACTGGCTTTTGAGAAAAGAAAGGCTTTATTGTGAGGTCGACCAGCAAGGACACAGGAAGCAAGGCTCTCAAATCTGTCTCTGTGATCCAAGCTTTCAGGGTGAAATTTAAGGAGTTAGGGGCTATTAAGCAGTAGCTGGACCCACGTAAGCTGATTAGCTAGTCTCGAATCAGTCCATAAGCAAGCTACTTGGTCTGCTGGAAGCCACATTTTCCTTACTGAAGGACTTCTTGCTTTGTAAAGAGCTCAGGTGGCAACATTTCTGAAGATTCTTGGTTCTGGGGTCATCCTGGGGCTTTGGGTTCCCACCGGGCACAGGTGTACTGCTGTCTCTGTTACTGAGCAAAGTTTGATTAATCAACAACCTGTTTTAAGGAAGCAACACTACTTTAAGCTAGCCAATGTTTTATTTGCTGTTTCAGAGTCTTTCTCATACTGCACCACTCTGATACTCATTCTCCTGCCTCCCTCTTCCACAGTTACGGATCCTGATGATTACACTGGGCCCACATGGATAATCCAAAATAATCTCTTACTTGGAGGTCAGCTGATTAGCAACCTTAATTCCATCTGCTACCTTAATTCCCTCTTGCCATGTAACATAACATACACCCAGGTCTCATGGATTAGAACATGGATATCTTGGGGTGGGGGGCATTATTCTGTGCAGCACGTGCATATATCAGAAACCAGGGTTAAAACAGAAGAAACATGACAGTTCCTCAAAGCATAAAATTATGACCTTATTCAATTAACCTTGACAATCCAAACTAAAAACAACAACAAAGGGCACTCTCACAGTAACTTGGCAATTTTAATGTATGAAATAATGATATTAATCTTGCTAAATTCACAATGTGCTTGTCCTGAAGTGGATCTGTGACCTCTTGTTTTCAGCTGATTGATGGCAAAGAAATAAAGCACCTGAATGTCCAGTGGCTGCGAGCACACCTGGGCATCGTGTCCCAGGAGCCCATCCTGTTTGACTGCAGCATTGGTGAGAACATCGCCTACGGAGACAACAGCCGGGTCGTGTCACAGGAAGAGATTGTGCAGGCAGCTAAGGAGGCCAACATACACCGTTTCATTGAGACACTGCCTGATGTAAGTCTCTCTCCAAATTAGGAGCCCAGGAGCATGTGGCAGCCTCCGTGGCCTATAGTTTGATTTCTAAAGGGCTGGTTTCCCAAAGGTGAAGAGAAATGAGCAACCAAAACACACACCCATCTGTAAACAAGCATCTGGCTACACTTCCCGTCCCCATTCGATGTTACGTTTTACCTCATCACCCAGCTTACTCCCTGTGAGCAAGCCTGACCGAGAGCGCATATGTTTGGGAGGCCTTTCCCTCTAAGTCTAAGTGCAGGGCCCACAGAAGCAGGCATCACCCTCCCTCCCCATTTCTCTCCCAGTCTTCCTTCTGCCTCCATGCAGCTCTCCCCCGAGGCTCAAACCTCCTTCTGTGGCGTCAGGCCAGGCCAGGGAACTGGACCCATGCTAGCCAGAAGGCTCTGTCTGATTAGGGCTGAGTCACTGAGTGACCATGGGGTCGTGTAATCTCTCACCATTGCACATTTCATGGGCCCCAAGCTCTGCTTACAGGGTTGATTACTGAAACCTTCCCTCGGCTCCCTGGGCTGTTATCCTGTGGATGTCCTCTGAATTCCTCCCAGGAAGTTAGATAAACGGAACCTCTCGCTCTCTCTTAAGCCTCTTAGGTTGGTATCTACCCACCTCCATTATCATTAGTTATGCTCTTTATTGTAAGGAAGTGCCCCCTAAAAAAGAAAGCTCAGTCGCCTCAGACCGGTGAGGAAGGCAATCTCCCCATGGGGAAGGATGGCAATACCAGGTGGCCCCCACTCTTCCCAAGATTTCCTTTTCCTGAGGCTCCTCTTTGGATAACTGCTGCCACCACATCATAGGCCCCAGGGAGGAGGCATTGTCCCCCTCCCCTCCTGTAACCTTCTAGCCCAACTCTGCCTAACTGGCCGTTCCCAAGGCTAGAACATGTAAAATGTACAGTGCAAACTCCTTTACTAACAATGAGGTCAGTGTTCTCAAAGGGTAAGCATGGACCAGCACATCAGCATCACCTGGGAACGTGTGAGAAATGCAGATATCAGGCCCTACCCCAGACCTGCTGAGTCAGAAACTGTAGGTGGAGTCCAGCAATCTGTGTTTTAATGGCCCCGGTGATACCGACGCTGGCTGAAGTTTGAGAACCACTGGGCTAGGGCTTACCAAAGACAATCACACAGAGTAACTATTATCTAGCTCATTGATTATACTTGCCCCTCTGGCATTTGTCTACCACAGGAGCCCCACCTTTCTGGGCTCCTGGGCTCCGTCTGTCACACAGAGCATACCTGTAGACGTCGTGATTCTTTTCCTCAGTGTCTAGACGAGGAAGGAGAAGGCAAACCCCTTAGTCCTGTCTGCTGTCTAAGGACCCACTTCTTCGCCTGAGTGATTCATACCTGGACTTACCTCACCTGGCACAGGGCCGTACTAGTTACCTCCTTCCTTCAGGGTTACAGCCCTGCCTTTACTGCCTCAACAGGATCCATACTAATAAGTGCAACCTGGCACCCCTACCTCACCTGGGCACACTGCAGTGCTCCCCCGCCCAGGCAGCTGCAGCTCTGGGGTGGAGGCAGTCCCCAGCATCTGACAGAACCTCCCCTGCAGTCTTCTCACTCCATCTGCAGGTGGAGACCTGTGTCTGATGCCAAGGACCTAGGGTTGCCAGAAACAGCAAATAAAAATAGGCAACCCTACTTTGAACATGCTTTTAAAGTCAAACTCTGGGTGCTAGAATCAGAGCCCACAGTTTGACTAAAATTTCTGCCTGGCAAGGGCCTGAGAATCATAAGATAGTATTGTTTTCCAGGTTACACATGCTGTCTGTCACATCACATTTCTGTTCTCCCCAACATACCCTTTTAACTCCTCTCCCTATCATCATATTGAATAGTTAGTGCCAATTATCTACTGTGGGAAACAATAAGTGAGGAATTTCAGGAGCACCCTAAAAACAAAAATAAAAAAAGGAGTGTTCAGCTTTTAAAGTTAGACATCGAAACAGAATTCTTTAACATCCATTAAAAGTGTTGAAGTGTTGGAGATAGTTTTATAAAAACAGACACCAATAGGCTAGCAACCCAAGAATTTCTTCCCTTCCTCACTTTAAAATAATGCAGAGAGCGTCACCTACTGGTTATCAATAAAATGAGCTTCAGTTATTTTATTAAGCATAGCCTATTCAAATCAAATTTCCTTCCTCCTACCAGTCTTTGTCCCAAATATAATGAAATCAGAAGAGTGGTAGAGACTAACATTGCAACAATATGCTTCCTCATAAAAATGTTGACTTGCTTACACTAAAACATAACTTTCAAGACCCAAATGTCTATTTTCAAGGAGAGAAATCAAACCTGCCATTTAGAGCTATGTTTTTGTTTTTTAACTCTCTGTGTACCCATTCTTAGCTTCTGTACCTGTACTTTCTTTGTGTGTATGGAAGTGGTTATCCTGTTTTCTGTAAGCAGACTCTTTTTTAGAACTTTATTATCAGTTCTACTTTTCATAATCACAACATCCTGTTTTCAGAAATATGACACCAGAGTAGGAGACAAAGGGACTCAGCTCTCTGGCGGCCAGAAACAGCGCATTGCCATAGCTCGTGCCCTTGTGAGACAGCCTCAGATTTTGCTTTTGGATGAAGCTACATCAGCTCTGGATACAGAAAGTGAGAAGGTAAGAATTTAAATTGGACTCATTCATGCTTGAATCAGTCGTCCATAAAAGGTTTAAATTTATCCTCCTTAAATTAATCTTCCACAGTAGAGAACAAAATTTAGCCAGATGTGTTGATTGTTACTTATGTCAGCTTTCAGTGGAATTGAAACACTTTCTGTAGCTGTGATTCAAGAGACCTAAGATGAAGCAAGACAAATGATAGCACTTGTGCTCCCAGAAACAGCCCTGGATCACTGTGTATTGACCTGAGAAGCTGCCTTCAGGAGGCATTATTTCTCATTTCTACCAGCAGCATCTTCTCAGCAACTGTATAAAAAAGTGAGGGCAATACAATGTTAAAAGCTGACTGTACCTTAAGATAAATATTAGTAATCATTTTCAGTTCAAGAAAACGTTGAGTATTAGCTATCTGAAAGACAAACTAATTCTGAGATGTTCCCTATCTTAAAAATCCCAAAATTCGAGGAGGCTGTGTTTGGCCTCTGTTCAGTCTTCTGCAGAGTTGGACTAAAGGGCTGCCTTGAAGGATGTTATGTGGCTAGGCATACCCGTAAATGTCTTCAGATGAGTTGACAGACTATATTTATTGTTATAACTTTGAGAAGAGATAACTCCTGCCTCAGAACTAATTCAAAGTAGGATTCAATATTCTGATATGACAAATCCTTTCCTTTGTAAAATCTATTATGTGTCACTGACACCATTGTTATAGAAGGACCTATGGCTGGAGAAATTGGAAGGCTTGTCATGGAGAGGACTATTTTTATCAGAATCAATTTATGTGATCATTGAACAGGTTGTCCAAGAAGCTCTGGACAAAGCCAGAGAAGGCCGCACCTGCATCGTGATCGCTCACCGCCTGTCCACCATCCAGAACGCAGACTTGATAGTGGTGATTCAGAATGGCAGAGTCAAGGAGCACGGCACACACCAACAGCTGCTGGCGCAGAAAGGCATCTATTTTACCTTGGTCAGCGTCCAGGCTGGAGCAAAGCGCTAGTGAACTGTGACCATATGAGCTGTGAAATATTTTCTAATATTTGTTAAATGTGGCATTTAATCAAAGTTAAAAAGCGAGTGCTTACTCAATAAACTACGTAGAGTTACCTGTTTAACATTTCCTGCCACAGTGGGAGATCATTCCACCACGTTCTGAGTCTTCAGAGACTATAATGAAAGAAACAGAAAGAATCATCATCAAATGGAGTAAAATAATGGTTTTAATTGCATTTGAAATTTATAGAGTAATTCAAAGTAGATTTTGGTAGTAAAGTATATAATTTTTGTTTATATTTTCTTATTTGGACTGTAACTGACTGCTTTGCTAAAAGATTATAGAAGTAGCAAAAAGTACTGAATGTTTGCACAAAGTGCCTATAATAAAACTAAACTTTTATATGACTGGAGTCACCTTGTCTAAAATGCCTGTAAATATAGCATCTCCCAATTGGAATATTGAAAATCATTTCTGCATTCAAAAAAAAAAAGACTTCTTTAAAAACACCAATTAACTTTTGTGGGAAAGGTTAAACAGTGTAAATAATTCCTATTGTAAATATCTTTTCACACTGGGCCCTACAAAATCATCTGGATTCATTCTTCTTGGACTTGATCCTGCTGATTCTTCCATTTCCACATTATGATGCCTCTCAAACCAACCACACAGATCAATACAAGATTTGGGGGACTGGAGTAGGGCAGAGGATGCACAATTGTGAAGTCTATACTCTGATGTATATTAAATATTTTGCATTGCTCTTATAAAGGGCTCTTTCAGGATTTTACTATTTTTGCACTTGTAAAAATACAATTAACTCTTTTTCTGTTTTGATAATGAATCACATTTCCTAGTAGTCCTCTTCCAAATTTGATCCTTCTGGTGGCAGATGTTTAAAATGTGCCATTAGTTTAAATACATCGTCATGCAAACATGGCGAAAAAAGAAGATATCACAAAGAATGATACTTGGAGTACAAAAAAAAAGAAAAGTAGCCCAAAAGCACTATTAACAAGAGTGAAAGGCACAAGCTGGGAGCAATATTTGCCATATTTATTATAAACAATTGATAGCCTTAATCTATAAAGAATTTTAAAAGGAAAAGAATGCCATCATCTCCAAGGAAAAATGGGCAAGGGACATGGTCAGGTAATTCCCACAGAAGAAATACAAGAGAAAAAAAGTGCACAATTTTGAACACCAAGTGGTTGAACTTAGAAAGGGAAACAAGGAGGTGGTGTCAAGATGGTGGCATAGGAGGACTCTGAACTTGCCTCCTCCCGTGGACACAACAGACCTACAACTATTCTTGGAACAATTACCCCTGAGAGAGAACTGAAAACTGGATATGAGCAACCCCTACAACACTCAACAGTCCTGACTGAGGTGGAAGAGACAGAAATTCCCTTCTGGAGAGAAAAAAAGCCACCTTCCCAAGCTGCTCACGGCCACTCCAGAGCAATCCAAAGGTACACAGCCTTCCCTGGAGGAGAGGGGGACCTGAGCAGGGACTGTTGCAGCTACAAGCATTTTTTGGACCCAGCACAACTGAGACAAGTGTCATAATATCTGGCTTTGCTGGCTACTAGCAACAACAGGGAATACCCCTAGAAAGCTGGGACATAAGGAAATTAAAGCCGGCTCATAAAGGGCCCACGCACAAATTCACCCGTTTCGGAAAGCAACCTAAAATCACCAGAAAGAAAAGTGCACAGTCCTTTGGTGAAAAGAAACTCACCTGATAGGCCATGAGTGCATCTCAGTGAGAAGTGAGACCTTTCCAGGGACTGAGACATTGGTGGCAGCCTTTGTTGTGACCTGGTACAGGCTTGCTGACAGTCCCTGACAGACACCATTGGACTTCTCCCCCTGGCCTCTCCTCCCAGGGTCTGCCCCACCCACTAGAGCACCGATTTAATCCAGCTCAACTGGGGCAAGCAGCTCGCCCTAAGGACTGGCCCCACCCAACAACAAGCCCTTGGGCAACTTGCGGGCCTGCACAGCCTAGGTGCCTGGATTCCCTGCAGCTGGGCAAGTGGGTCCGCCTCTGTGGGGCAGGGCACGTGTGAGGAGCAGGTGGAGTGTGTGGGGCATTGGGGGAGGATGTAGGGTCTGTGCCGTGGGGCGACTGGGTCCACTTCAGGGGGTCGGGGCATGTGCACGGGGCAGGACTGTGTTGATGGGTGTGTGTGGCCCTGTGGGCGGTGGGTCTTGTCAGCTGCAGAAGACTTGTGCTTCTCAAACAGCCACATAGGGGATCTGCCCCACCTTCCAAAGCCTGAAACAATTGAGTGCTCCCCTGCCTGGGACCAGCTCCACCCAGCTGCAATCCCAAGAGAGCTGACAAGGGCCTTATAGGCCAGAGGCCTACAGCAATTGTAAACCCCTGAACCTCACAACCAGCCACGCTGGGAGCTTACTCACTTAACAGAAAAACTGCAACAGGAATGTGCTATTAGACCTTGCAGCCAACTGTGCTGGGGCTCCCCACACCCGATAAAGAGAAGGAAGTGTCCATAACAGCCACACATGGCTAAGCATTACATCCAGCTGGCCATGGGGACAGTTCAACATCCCTGGGCATCTACAGCAAGAGCAACCCTGCCACAAGAGAAGGACATATGTAGCCCACACGGGGGTCACTCCTGGAACATTTGGAGCTGGTGACAAGAGGGAAGCACACTGCTGAGCCTCATAAGGCATCACTTACATAAGGCCACCTCTCCAAGATCAGATGTAGCTGACCTACCTAATACATGGATACAAGCACAGAGAAAGAGCCACAATGAGGAGGCAAAGGAGTACGTTCCAAGTAGGAGAACAGCACAAAACCCCAGAAAAAGATCTAAATGAAACAGAAATGAGCAATCTACCTGACAAAGAGTTCAAAGAGTCATAAGGATGCTCACTGACCTTGGGAGAAGAATGGATGAACTCAGTGACAACATGAACAAAGAAATGGAAAATATAAAAAAAAAAATCATAAATGAAGAATACAATACTGGAAATGAAAAATTCACTAGAGGGACTCAAAATCAGAGTAGACGATACAGAAGAATGGATCAGCAAGCTGGACAAAAGACTAGAAGAAATCACCCAAGCTGAACAGGTAAAAGAAAAGAGAATTAAAAAGAATGAGGACAGTCTAAGGGACCTCTGGGGCAATATCAAGTGCACTAACATCCGTGTTATAGGTGTACCAGAGGGGAAGAGAGAGACAAAGGGGCAGAGATCTATTTGAAGAAATAATAGCTGAAAACTTTCCTAACTTAAGGAAGGAAACAGACGTCCAGGTACAGGAAGCACAGAGAGCACCAAAAAAGATAAACCCAAAGAGGCCCACACCAAGATACATCATAATTAAATTGTCTGGAATTAAAGATAAAGAGAGAAATCCTAAAAACCACAAGAAAAAGGCAACAAGTCACATAAAAAGGAAACCCCATAAGGCTAACAGCTGACTTCTCAACAGAAACCTTACAGGCTGGAAGAGAGTGGCACGATATATTTAAAGTGCTAAAAGGAAAAAACGTACAGCCAAGAATACCTGGCAAGGTTATCATTCAAAGTGGAAGGAAAGATAAAGAGTCTCCCAGACAAGCAAAAATTAAAGGAGTGTATCACCAAGAAACCAGTCCTACAAGAAATGCTAAAGGGACTTATTTAAGGGGGAAAGAGAAGACCACAAATAGGAAAAAATTATCTATTTCCATTACTAGAAGGTAATGGATACACATGCACAAAAAAGAGGTTGGATATGATATCAAAAACTTAAAATGTGGGAAGAGGGGAGTAAAAGATGAGAGCTTTTAGAAAGAGGTCAAAATAAAGAGACCATCAACTTAATATAGATTGCTGTATACATGGGTTACTGTATATGAACTTCATGGTAATCACAAACCGGAAACCTATAATAAATACACAGAAGACTAAGAGAAAGGAACCCAAACATAATACTAAAGAAAGCTATCAAACTAAAGGGAAGAGAGCAAGAGAAGAGGAAGGGAACAGAGAAGAACTACTAAAATACCCAGTAAAAAAGTGGCAGTAAGTACATACTTATCAATAGCTACTTTAAATGTCAGTGGACTAAATACTCAAATCAAAAGGCATAGGGTGGCTGATTGGCTTAAAAAACATACCCATGTATATGCTGCATACAAGAGACACACTTCAGACATAAAGACAAACTGAAAGTGAAGGGATGGAAAATGATACTCCATGCAAATGGCAATGAAAAGAAAGCTAGGGTAGCAATACTTATATCAGACAAAATAGACTTTAAAAAAAAAACTGTAACAAGAGACAAAAAAGGTCACTACATAACGATCAAGGGAACAATCCAACAAGAGGATATAATACTTGTAAATATCTATGCACCCAACGTAGGAGCACCTAAATATATAAAGCAATTATTAACAGACATAAAAGGAGAAATAGCGACATAATGATAGTGGGAGACTTTAACACTCCACTTACACCAATGGATAGATCATCCAAACAGAAGCTCAATAAGGAAACATTGGTCTTAAAGGACACTCTAGACCAGATGGACTTAGTAGATATATACAGAACACCCCATCCAAAAACCAAAGAATACACATTCTTTTCAAATGCACATGGAACATTGTCCAGGACTGAACAAATATTGGGCCACAAAACAAGTCTCCATAAATTTAAGATTGAAATAATACCAAGCATCTTTTCTGACAACAACGGTATGAAACTAGAAATCAACTATAGGAAGAAAATCAGAAAAGCAACAATTATGTGGAGATTAAACAAAAGGCTACTGAACAACAATTGGGTCAACGAAGAAATCAAAGGAGAAATCAAAGAATACCTGGTGACAAATGAAAATGAAAATATGACATGCCAGAATTTATGGGATACAGCAAAAGCGGTTCTAAGAGGGAAGTTTATAGCAATACAGGCCTATCTCAACAAACAAGAAAAATCTCAAATAAACAATCTAACAATGCACCTAAAGGAACTGGAAAAAGAAGAACAAACAAAGCCCCAAATCAGTAGAAGAAGGAAATAGAAATAAGAGTGGAAATAAATGAAATAGAGACTAAAAAAACAATAGAAAAACTCAATGAAACCAAGAGCTGGTTCTTTGAAAAGATAAACAAAGTTGACAAACCTTTATCTAGACTCACCAAGAAAAAAAGAGAGAAGGCTCAAATAAGTAAAATCAGAAATGAAAGAGGAGAGGTTACAATGGACACCTCAGAAATACAAAGGATTATAAGAGAATACTATGAAAAGCTATATGCCAACAAATTGGATAATCTGGAAGAAGTGGATAAATTCTTAGAATCATACAACCTTCCAACACTGGATCAAGAAGAAGTAGGGAATTTGAATAGACCAATCACCAGTAAGGAGATCAAAACAGTAATCAAAAACC